CCTCCCCACACAGACAGACACACACACACAGCCTGTCCCCTCACAGACACACGCACACAGCCCGTCCCCTCACACAGCCCGCCCGTCCCCGCCATGCAGACACACACACACACTGCCTGTCCTCACGTACAGCCCCGCGCACACACTCTCAACCACCATCTGTGCTCGCACACAGCACAGCACTCCTGATACACACTCTGGGTGTACTCACAGCCCTCCTCACACACACACCCCCCCACCTGTACTCACAGCCCTCCTCACACCCTCCCACCTGTACTCACAGCCCTCCTTACACACACACTCTGGGTATACTCACAGCCCTCCTCACACACACCCCCACCCGCCTGTACTCACAGCCATCCTCACACACACACACCTGTACTCACAGCCCTCCTCAGACACACCAGGCATTCTCGCACACCGCCTGTCCTTACGGACAGCCCCCACGCTGCCTGTCCTCACACACACCGCCCTCCTCACACCCGTACCTATGTCCGTACCCTGCCCAGTTCCCGTGTACACCCCTCCCTCCCGTCACACGCACATGGGAGCCCCATGCCCTACGCACACCTCCTGCTCACCCACCCGTTCCCCTCCTACACCGTCTCCCTCCGGTCCCTGTGATGGCAAGGGGCTGCCTGGCCTATCCCCTCTGCCCCGAGACACTGCCGTGCTGGAGCTTTCCCCCCTCCTCGGGTGTCAGTCCAAAAGGTGAAGTGCAGCTGGCCGCCTTAGCTTCCCCTTGCCCACTGACCTGGGGGTGTCACCATCCCTTCGTCACCCACGTACTGCTCCTCTCCAGGTGTCTCCTCGGCAGCCCTGCAGCAGGTACGTGGCTGTTCAACAGTCGCTGGCTCCAGATCGCTCAGCAGAACTTGCATGTTGCCGTTGCCATTTCCTCTCCTACAGGAACTGACAGGCTGACACCAAAAAATACCCCTGGAAACCATCAGTCTTGGGTACGTAACACCTTTACAGCAGGTCTCCCAGCAAGGGCTGATGAAGTACAGCAGAGCCCGTGACCGGCCATCCCCCCCCCCGAGGGCTTCTCCACGCCCTTGGCCAAGGCTGGCTGGTGAACCCCAGCGAAGAGCTGTGCCTCCGGTAGTCAGCACCAGCGGCCGCCGGGCCCCAC